TCTGCTCTTGCCCTATTGCACATGAAATAAAGTTACAAAGTATTTAACTTCAAGTTACGCTCTTACCCCATTTTCGGGGAAAGTGCAGAGTAGTTGACATTTTAAACAATTTCCTATCAAAATCAAAATGTACAAGGAAAATTAAGGTCCTATTTAATTAAGTAGTAGTAGTAATTGTGCAAAGCGTTCGATATCGACAGCGTTAAGTATTTACATAGCAGACTCAAAATACTTACGTTTAAATACCAACTTTACAAAAACCAGTCTGCACTTACCCCACTTCACCTTACTCATATATAATCGTATGATAGTTTCTGAATTTTTCAATAATTTCGTTACTGTATTTTAAATTTGTCGGATTCCTAGACTGCTAATCTTTTTTTCCCTATATTTCCCTATGAGTTTAAAATTATTAGAGCTGTCTTTCTTCATAGTTTTCAGTATAACCCCTTTGTTTTATTTTATTTTTATAGTGGGTTGATATTCAACTGAAATCAATTGGTTTCGATCAGCGGATGAAATTAGAACAGTTATAATTCGTAATAATTATAACCTAAAAATTGAGAGATGTAAAACAAATGACAAAAGTCATTGAATATTGATTTTGAGTGACGGCTTCGTAATTTTTTTCTAAAATATAACATATAGCTGCATTCAATAATTTCTGTATGAATATTTACTTGCTACTATTATTATGGGACAAAAGGAGTTTTTCATTAGGTTATAATATATGATTTAATATTAGTAATGTTAGTATATCATCATACTAATATTACAAATATTAGTATATCATCATATAACCTAATATATTAATATGTTATAATATATTGTATTACATTGTAATATTACGTTATAATATAGGTAAATATCTCTTGTGTTTTTTAAAACATATCATGTTCTAAATCTTGTTTAAAATATTTTTTACATTATTCAAAACGAAGGGGAGATCTGAAAGTGTTTGATTTAATTCTGAACACCCTGTATTGTAAATAGTTTCGAATCTGGTTCAATCTGCTTTCAAACAGTTTATAAATAGCTTGAAAGGAGAGAAACAATATTTTGAATAGATTTAAATTCCAAAGCAAGCGTCAACAAATATACTGCTATTGTTATTATAAATAACATACTATTGCATAATTTATATTTTGTCCTTTTGATCATATCGTGTCATTTATATCTTGGAATTTTTTATTATTCCATTCAGTCAAACAATTAAAATTGCTTAACTGAGAATTAAATTATAGTTGTTACTAGAATGATTTTCTTATTGTAAATTAAAATTTAATTTTTATTTCTCGTCTGTCTAATTATTGGACTGATTAAATTTTATTCAGCATTTGCTTAATTAATAATTAACCTCCAATCGTTAAATGACACAACTTTTAAATAATAATACAAATTTAATTTTTAATTCAATTTCATCTAACTAAAGATTATGATATACTATTTAATTAAATTTCATATAAATAAAGATTAATTTCAATGCTTAATTTTGGTTTATGTAAATTGATAATACAAAATTAAATTTGTAATTAAAGATTATGATAATTGTAATACTT